AACTTGATATATATATATATATATATATATATATATATAAAGAGAGAGAGAGAGAGAGAGGGAGGGAGACAAAGAGAGAGAGAGCCTGCGCTAGGGATTATTAGCCAGTAAGTTAGCTAAACATCGAAAGTATTTGCCAATTTTCGAAAGTATTCGCTAAATCTTAACAACATTTTATGATTAACTTTTTTTCCAAAGAAAACTATTTTACTTATTTTGCTTCAGACTTACTTTATTTGGTCTCAATTCTAGTAGGTTATGCTGCACGTCTATGAAAAACTACTGTAATCGAATAAAAAATGCTGATTTATTTAGAAAAATTAATGTAATCGAATCAAAAATACTGATTTATTTAGGAAAAATAAATTTGATGTAATTTTAATTTCTTTCCAATGGATTTCTTTCCTTCCAATGGATTTATTAATTTTAATTTCTTTCCATTCACTAATACTTTCGCTAATACAAAATTTCATTCTTGAAATTTAAGATTTTATCGCATTTTTAAGTCACATCATAGTTGATTTACCTCACTGGAAAAAACGCAGGAAAAATAGTTCAAAGTCTAAACGTTGAACCATAATATCCGTACTCTGCTTCGTAAATTTAGAATTCTTTTCTGGTTGAATCTTGTGATCGATTAGGCACTATATTGCAGTTCAAAGCTTCACGATATTGTCGTTCAGAACTGCACTATATTATGGTTCAAAGCTACACGATATTGTTGTTCAACGAGCTCTAAAATTTCAAACAGTGTTGAAATAATGAAGTTACGCTGCCGTTTTTTTAACAGCGTGAACAATAATATCTCACAAATTTGTTTCAAATTTTACCCAGTGTATTGTTCAACTTGAATGGTAACATGGTTCAATTTAACACTTTGTTTTTTAAATATGGAGATGCTTCGTATTGGTAATGAAGTATGTAAACTCTATACAATATTTACACAAAAGAAACAAGAGAACAGCTGACGATCCTTTTTTACCGTTGTGTTGATGTATCAAAAATAAGTCCCTTTTAAACAGTTTATTTAGCATCGAGGGTAAATTAATCTTTTATTAGGAGCTGCAACTTTGAATACTTATATTCTAATATCTGAAATTTTTATTTTGTTTTAGTAGTCAGGCTGAGGGGCAGGGCAGAACTCCTCATGCAAATCTTTTTGCTGCAAGATTCATATGATTTGCAATTTATCGCAAACGAGCTTTATCAACAATCAATCCAATCGGAGTCGTGGTGGTTCAGGAGATAGAGCTCTCACTAAAGCGCTGATAAAATTTTGTTTCTGATGTAAAATATCCTCAGTGGCAGACGGATCACGGGTTAGAGTCTTCTTGCTGCCAGGTTAACAGAGGGAGGTTTCATTGGTTTTCCTCTCCATGTAACGCAAATGCGGTAAGTTCCATCAAAACGTCGTTAGCGAAGGCAAATTTCTCCCAATACTTGATGCAGGAGCTCTCTTGTCTTCTGGATTGGGTTCAAATTACAAGGTTATGGAGTCATTTGAACCCAATACAATACAACGTTGAATAAATTTTTCTGAAAGTTTAGTTTATGATACTAATATTTTGTATAACTTAACAGTTTATTGCTGTTGTGAAAATCTAACAGTTAAAATCTATTTTTTAGGATTTTTTGTCTTTTGAGAGAGTGAAAGTCAAAAATTCGAGAAACATCATGCAGTTAAACATCAGGCCTTGGGACAGTCTTATCCAATGGAATTGTATCCAACTGTTGCCCTCCTTGGAAAATCTAGTGTCAAATCTCAAGTTTTTCAGGGACAACTATTTGATTTTGGTGCTATTGTCAGTTTTCTACAACTATGTTATCTATGAATTTTTCGATGTAAATTTACTCAACAATGCTGTCAATGTGGCTACAACAATTTGCATAGTTGTCACACATGCTTGTTTCTACAACAGACCTCAACTCCCGTCTGGTGGTATTGTAAATGGTCAGGATAATTTAAGCAGATCAGATGATACGTTAACGGAAACCAATCAGACCAATCACCAAACAAGGCAGTGTTTTTATGGTCAAAATAAAGGGAACATCGGAAATTCTTGCAACAATTCGAACAGGTCTCAAAATTTCCCCTCTTCGAATTTTAACTATTCCAGATTCAGAAATCGTAATGTCAGCGATGACGATGTAAATGATCAGGATGATTTTAATCGACCCAATAATACTTTATCATATCCTTGGAATCAAACCCAAACGATGTATCAGTTACGAAATCGGAGAAATGTTGAAAATTTCAACAGTACCAGACATCGAAAATCTCCCTCTCCAAATTCTAATGAATTCAGAAATCATTCCTATAAAAATAATAAGAATCACCGAAATTTTACTCGCAGTTTTGAGAATCATTCTGCAAATAGTCAGAGTTTTGCCCGATTTCCTAAATTTCCTAAGCGAAGAAATATTAATAAATACAAGAAGAATGAACAAGATTATGATTCAAATTTAAATTGGGGCTGTGTTCTATCGATTTTGTTATTTTGTTTCATTGCCTACATTAAAATCAATGAAGTAGCGATAAAGCCACCGCAAATTACAAGTTTTAATTCAACCAATTTTTCTTGTGTTCTATCTTAACTTTTTGATGGCCATCAAGTTTAAGCTATCAATAATTGGTACGCTTATCTTAAATGGTTCGTTCGCAATCTTCTATAGTTTCATATTTTTTGCTAATAAAAACAAAGCGAAAATGTCATTTAAACGAAATGTCAAATAAAGTGAAGATCTTCACAAAACCTTGTAACAAGATAAAATCGTTTTTGACATTATAATAAAAATCTTGTTTGTATTGATTGTTTGTTTATTTTAGTTCAAATAATTAAAATTAGAACCACAGAATTAGAATATAAGAAAGAAACATCTTCTGAAATAATTTAAACCAATTGCATTTTGAATTACTAAAAGGAGATAATATAGACTCTTAAACAATAATTAATCCTAATCGTATCTGGGTAGTTCATTTGAAAAATTGATTTTTGGTTGTTTATTTTGGGTTACGAGCTCGCGAGGCCTGTTTAGACGATCCAATTTCTTGGACAGAGATTGATTGATATTGATGGAAACTTGTTTTGCTTTGAGCTTGGATCGTGTAAACAAACATCCAAGAACTTGGTCCAACTTCTTGGACGATAGTAGAGCATGTTCTACTTTCCATCCAAGTTTTTTCTCCCTTAACCAATCAGCGTCTTAGGTTTCGTGACGTCAACAAGCTGGCAGCAAATTATGTCATTTTGTTGTGGGTTTTCATAGATTTTAGTCCAAATAAATTGATCTGTTGAGGTTTATTTGTGTTATTATGATTTTATTTGAATTTATTTAGTAATTTTAACTTGGATAGTGTCAACGAATCATCCAATTTCTTGGACCGAGAAATCCGTCCAATTTCTCGGATTCAAGAAATTGGACCGTGTAAACAGGCCTTAGGAAAGTTAAGGAACACCTGGTTTATTTTTAGCGCAGCGCGCCAATAGAGGAGAGAAATTTATCAACAATCCCTTAGAAATATACTGCTCAAACAGTCCTCCCACCCAAAAAGAACTCACCTGTTATTAATGATGGTTAGTTACAGAGTGGGAGGAAAAACTCCAAAAAAGCATACCGGTTACACAATGAGATTGGCATTGGCATATTTTAGTGTACCTTCGAATCCTGCTAAAATTATTGAAGTATAGAAACTCACCAATTCTCTCAAAAGAAGTCGCATACTCTAATGTGTACATATTAGAGGTATTTTAATGAAACTAAGCACTAGGTATTTTTCATGTTATTTCTAAAATTAACTTTTTATGGACTTCGTTTTAAAGGAATGTATTTCAGTAATTAAGTATTTTTGTTGTGCTCTGATAGTATTTATACAAAAAAAGTTACTAAAATTGAATTGAAATGGAAGAAATATGCAAAAAGTTAAGAATGTTTTTTTCTGGGGCGACAACATACGCACACATATTTTTACTGGAATTAAACGTTTATTAATCTGAATTTTTGAAACATATATTAACTACAAATAAAAAAGTAACCAAAAATTGAAATAAATACCAAAAAATTGCTTATTTAAAAAGTATATAATATAAGATTTCGAAAACCATTATTTTTAATTGTCATGTTTAATATTTTTTAGGAGAAACGTTTTTTTTTCTGCTCTCGAATGTTATTTTCTTAATTTCTTTAATTTAAAGTACATTGATATAATGAATAAAAATTTTTAAAAGTTAATGAAATTTAACAAATTGAAATGTAGTTTAAAAAATTTAACAGCACTTTAAAAAAAGGAATAAAAAAATAAAATAATTAGAGAAAAAAAATTTAATAATTCAACATTTCGAAACTTCCACGAATTTCCATAAGCATGACAAAAAGAAAATTAAAAAGAGGAAAAATAATTTAAAATTTTTTTATGTTGTTTTAAGAATATTGACTTAAAAATTTATAAAATACTTCGGAGTAGCATTTCTAATTTTTTTGGACAGCATTATTTGCAGATATTTCAATTTCAATACTGAAAATAGTATAAAAATGCATGTCATTTCCACAGACGAGGCACAAGTTCTTATTTTAAGTTTTATTTAGTTTTTATCTTTTAAGTTTTTATTTATTCAGTATCTTATGATAAATTCTTAAGGAACATGGGGACTAGCCGTAGTTTTGCTAGCAGTTACATCATGAAAAAGCCACGAATTTTTGATAACGCTCGCTACTTAAACAGGGATTCTGAAAGGGAATTGGTTGCAAGAATATCCTTAATTTAATCAAACGTCATTCAAACGGGAAAATTCAGATATTTTGATAGGTTCCAAAGGTGACGCCATTCTGACGACAGGGAATTTTTGGGATTTCCTTAATGCGTATTTTTCTAAGGATTATTGCCCATTAACTTCAAAAAAAAAATAATCTTTTAATTGGCATCTTGACTTTTTATGACTCTTTGTAAGAGAACGATTTCTACGTCTTAAAATTAGTAAGAGAAATCTATTTTAAGCTTGTGATTTAATTTAGAGACTCGTATGAGGCAATCTATATTACATATATATATATATGGGTCATTCTCACAAAAACAGTCATTTGCATGTCCCCAGTATGTTTTATGTTTGTTTTACAGCTTCCAAAAAGAAAAAATTCAGGGAAAGTGTCCTTCAGAATGCAAGCTAACAAAATAATAAAAATAAAATTATCAATTTTTTATTTATTTTAGGTAATTAAAATATACCGAAATGTCATTCCCTCACTTGTCCCCACTGCTGATTTAAAAAAAATAAAATTGTTTCTGAAATAAAAATTTTTTTTTTTGCAAATTCGTGTTTTTTATTTCAGAATACTGAAATATAGAATTCAGAAAATCAATTTTAAATTTAATTTCTGATAAAAATATTAACACAGCACTATTTTAAACTTTGTCCCCAGTGTNAGAAAATAATCTTTTAATTGGCATCTTGACTTTTTATGGCTCTTTGTAAGAGAACGATTTCTACGTCTTAAAATTAGTAAGAGAAATCTATTTTAAGCTTGTGATTTAATTTAGAAAGACTCGTATGAGGCATTCTATATTACATATATATATATATAATAAAGAGTTATAAAAAAAGAGAAAAATTATTAAAATAAAATATTTAAAAAAATCAAACATAAAAAATAAAAATTGTATATCCTGACTGATGAGTTTTGAAGATTCATAGTCTGACAATTATAAGATGAGCTCTCTTTCAGAGAATAGAATTTCATAGAATTCATAGAATTTCAGAGACTTTTATAATTTAAAAAAAAATGTGGGGGGGGGGGAGACATTAATATTATGAAGGGTATTGCGAGCCTGAAAATTTTGAGTGCACTTTCTCCCGGTGACTCAAAATTTTTCAAATCATTTATGACAAAATACAAAAAACAATAACAAAATTTTTAGAATTGTATATGATTATATGACAAAATACTTCAAAAAATTAATTTTCTTAAACAATAACTTTGGCATGTCTTTTAAATCATTGGATCAATCTTCTTGTGATAACTAGCATTAGTAGTTAAAAAAATACTTTCCCTGAAATATATTGAAAATAGTTCCGATTGAATCATTCACTTTAATGAATGATTCAATGATTATTAATGAATTTTATCTTATTTCTAGAATTTCAATTGATTTCTTGTAATTAATTTATAAAAAAAGAAAGACTTGAAATAATAAGGAAAAAATATTAGACAGAACTTATTAAAATTTAATAAAGTAGTTTAGAGATCCTTGTTACTGTACTAATATTTTGTTAAGTTACGTAAGATAAATTTTTTTTTTTGATTAAAGCAATGATTTTTCGATAAAATTAGATTTAGCATCTTTAAAAATACAAAAGTCGTAATTTCTGCTTTTGTAAAACATATCGTAACTTTTTTTTAAGTTAACGTTACATTTATATAAATATATTTTATTATAAATTGCATTCATGGATAGAAATATTTTAATTTTTTATTTAATAAATTCTAAAATTTAAAATTCTTCAACAAAAGTAGCAATTAAGTTCTTCAAAAAAAAGTAGCATTTTAATTCTTAAATTAAAATGTCTATGTGTATGAATGAAATTTTTTAAGACAAATATCGATTTTTCTGTGCACGAAAAAATAAAAATGATCAAAGTTCAGGATTTTTTCCCCCTCTAGACAGTTCAGCGTATATAGTATATATTCATTGAATAGTATATAATAGCATTCCGCAATTTTTAATGGTTTTTTCAAAATGATAAGTTTGTTATTAATTAAAAACTGCTCCTAAAACTTTTATTTTATTGAATATTTTTGATGTTTTAGGAAAAAACGTAGGGCAAGAAAATAATTAGTTTTTTTTTATAAAAGTGTCCATATTTTCATAAATATTTAAGCTAAACTTACAAAATTGTATGCAATTCTTACAAATAGCAAAAGCGTCGTTTGAGTTGACTTAAGTCAATTGTTACATTTTGTTACAAGATGTTATAATGTTTGTTTTTGTTTGTAATTTATTGCCGGCCCCTCAAATAACCTTCGAAGGTTTTAAAATATGTTATAATGTTGAAAGTATTAAAATAATCCTCCAGTTATTTTTTTAGAAATTAAAAAAAAATGTCAAAAACTGAAAGCGTCTTATATGTTATTGCACGGTAGTGTTCATTTAAATTTCCCTTTGGACTCTCTAAGGAGGATCTCTAAAGCAATCCTCTCCTAGTCTTCGACCCCCTTTCCGTCAACGAACTCGTGGATCTTGTCGGACTCCGTCAGACGGTGAGGATAAGCAACAACAACAACACACAAATTTTCCTAGTTTTACTTCATAGTTGTTTCATTTAACATGTTATAATTATAAAATGTTAAGTGCTCCGATGAACACAACTGTTCCATCTACAATTTCGAAGCATCCAAAGCAATATTTTTTGCAAACACCGCTCTTCGTTACTTTTAAAATTTTTGTCGAAAGTTAAATATTTGAGATAAACTTAAGGTGATTAAAATTCATAAAAGTTCACAAACAGAATTAAATAATCAAAATACAATTTTCTTATTTGCAAGGGAAAAATAGACGAAAAGCGGACACTTTTAAAACGTTTTAAAATGGAATTGCATAAAATGTTTTAAAATGGAAGTGCGAAAAGAATGCTTTTTCTCGTCCAATTTAGTTTCCAGCATGTGACTACATTCAATCGCAATAATTTACTCATTTTGCTGCAAATAATCAATAAATTTTAATAATAAACCCACTTTGAAAACTGTCTTAAAAATTCCATATTTAATTTACCTTATGTTTTACAAAATGTTGTAAGCAAATATGATTAAAAATATTATGAAACAACTGTAGGAAAAGGATTTTTTTATTACAATTAATAATCAATAAATACATTTTTAAAAATAATCACACTAAAAAAAAGCTGTCTTAAAAAATTCCGAATTTAATCTACTTCATGTTTTGTAAAATCAATACATTTTGTAAATAATGAATTTTCTTTAATAGTAATAATTAACTAAACTAAAATTCTGTCTGTTCATAGTAACTAAAATTCTGTCAAAAAAGTTCCTTATTTTATGTTTTATACAACGGTGTGTACCAAAATGTTTAAAAATAGTTTGAAATGACTCCAGAATATGACGAAATGATGTTGTAACAAGAGATAAACGCATCATGACAGAAATATTAGGATGATTTAATGCTGACACACAAACCTGTGACTATAAAGGGAGAGAGAGAGAGGGGGGGGGGTTGATGAACACCTGTGATTTTGGAAGAAATTTAACTCTCCCTCAGAAATGACCTTCTGTCTGGACGGAAGTTGAATGACGTCACTGAAACTTATGAAAAATATCGATCTTCCGTTCTGTAACGGAATGTAAAGTCTTGTCTCTTTTCGTTAGTCGAGAATATATTTTCTACGGAACATTTTGTCAATTAACCTATAGAGAAACAATTCAAAAAATTGATCTTTTCAAGTCAGGTAAATAATATTTAAATACATCATTCCATTTTTTGTTGTTGAATACTTTAACTGTTTAAGGATCTTAAGAAAGAGAATACAGTCCATGGCTAAATTGTAAGACGCGCTCTATAAGATTACATGTAACATTTTTATTATCAGGTAATACTGCACAGCTTTATTGTTTTAATGTGACTGAAATTAGTTTGCACTTGTTTACGTTAGTGTATCAATGGATTAAATTCGACTATATATAATATAAATTGGATAAATTAGAGGATACATTATGCAGTACAGAACCCGTAATCCGGAAACCAGAAAACCGGAAAACCAAAAAACCGGAACGAAATTCGGTATATTTTCCCGCAATTTAAAAAAAATAATTTTTTTTTCCTTATAAGATTTTAGGATTTTTCGTTCTTTTTTTAAAGATGTTTGCCATACCATCATTTTGGAAATAATAATTAGTGTATTAATTTATCGTTTTTTCTTCTTTTTAAGATTATTTCGAAATAATTTTTTTTTCCAGTTGGGTTTAACAATAAAAAAAAAAACGGCTTTTTGTAGCGATTCAGAAAACCGGAAAAATCAGTTATCCGGAATACCGATCGTTCCGGATAATCGGTTCCCTACTGTATAACAATAGAATATTTATGATATCAGGTATAATAATTAGACCAAATTATTCGACGCACTGCAGTTTTTAATGATGACATGTTTTTGGACGAGTTTCTTTTGCAATATTTAAACATTTATGGAATGGGTTTTTATTCGGGACATTTTTCATATACTTCCTATCTATACTAATAATTTATTTTTACTAATTTATTTTTATTTTTTAATTTATTTATTACATCCTACTAATTTATTTTTAACGTATTGCATTACAATGTTAACCCATTCATACACGAACGTAAACAAGTGCAAACCGGTTTCAGTCGAGTAAAAACAATAAAGCTGTTATAGAGTAATTAAGATTTTACATGGAATCTTAGAGTGCGTCAAATGTTTCCAGGGACTGTATATGTATTTGGTCCTCCCCCCTCGTCATTAAAAATAAGCAAGTTGCTTACGTAAAATTTTTGCCAAAGAGTGTTCTCATTACTATCAGAAGTTAATTAAAATAATTAGTATTATTAACTTTAATTTAGATTAAAACTGTAATTGCATCGTTGTTGAAATATGAGTATCTTATTTTTCTTGCTATTAATTATTCATTTATTTTCAAATTTTACTCTGACCGAGACGTTGCTTGATTCGAATCAAGTAATTTTATATTCAAAAGGTGCTCAGGTGCAAAAGAAGAAAAAAAAAAAATGACTCAAGTAATGAGTTAGCACACTATGCTTAAAGGATTTATCATTAAACGGTGTCCAATTAAATATTTATTAGTATAAATAGATGCATTCATTGTAAGATAATTAATATTTTAACTCAACTTTGGTTTTAGTTGAGAAATAAAAAGGATTGAATTTTTGCGATCTTATTTTTTACTCTATTATTAAGGGTGAAAAATATAACCAAACTGAAAAACTCTTGTGCTTATGTGATAGTTTATTAGTCTCCTTTTGTTTGCCATCTTTAACATTTTTCACGTTTTAGTCTGATAAATCATTAAAAATATTAATCTTTAAATTCTAATAATTTAATAAATACTTTATTTTTGTTTTGAATTATATATTAATATAGCGTATAAATATTAAATCAAAAACTTTTTTTAAATTAAAATTTTAAATTTTTTAAAAATGTGTTTAATAAGTTAATTTCAATAAATGTATTGAAACTATGCGTAGTAACCTAATAACTCTTAAATATTTGCTAAAATCAGAAATGAGAAGAATAAAATATTCAATTAATTGAACTTTTTTCCAGTAAAACAGCATGATAGATGTTTCATTAAGCCGAATTAATTATAATACAGTTTTGACCGAAATAAAACAACACATTTGAATGCAAAAAAAGTATTCAAATCAAGATGTTAATTAATAATTTCTTCCAGATAAACTTCTGCTTTATTTTTAAAATGTGCTTCTTTATTTTCTTATTTGTTAAGTGAAGGAATGTTGTACTTGTTCTCCAACATTTAAAAATCATCCTAATCATTCACCTTAAAATTAATAATTTTTATCGCAGCGCTCCATAGAGGAGAGAATTTTATTTACACTCTCAATGGCCTTTTGTCTGGACGGAAGTTGAATGACGTCACTGCTTGAAAACACGAACTGAAACTTATCAAAAATATCGATCTTTCGCTCTATAAAAGTCTCAGTCGCCCTAGGGCATAACACAGATCACAGGTCTAGTGCCCGCTTGCGCGGGCAGGTACCTTGCCAAATTACATGATCTAGCTAGCTCTTCGTTAGTCGAAACTATTATTTCTGCGGAAAGTTTGGTAAATTAGCCTACTGAGTAAAAAATCAAATTTTCAAAAATTGATCACTACAAGTCAGGTAAATAATATTTAAATATACCTCTATATTTTTGTTGTTGAATACTTTACTGTTTAGGGGTCTTAAGAAAAGGAATACGTAAATATGTTTTTGATCTTCTTCCTCATCATTAAAAATAAGCAAGTTGCTCGCTTAAATTTTTTTTTTAAAATAGTGGTCTCATTACGAGTTGACGTAAATTAAAATAATTATTATTATTAACCTTCTTTTAGAATAAAACTGTCTTACATCTTTGTTAAAATATGGCAATCTTATTTTTCTTGTTATTATTTATTTATTTATTTTCCAATTATTATTTATTTATTTATTTTCCAATTATTATTTATTTATTTATTTGCTTGATTCGAATCAAGTAATTGTAAATTCAAAAGTTGCAAAAAATTAGAATTCAGGTGTCAAAAAAATATTTACTCAAGCTACACACTATGCCTAAATGATTTATCATTAAACGGTTTCCAATTAAATATTTATTTGTTTATTAATATAAATAGATGCATTCGTTGTATGTTGGTTAACTCAACTTTAGCTTTAGTTAATGAATAAAAAAGATTGAATTTTTGCGATCTGTTTTTTTTTTTTTTTAACTGATTAATAAGGGTGGTAAAAATAACCAAACTGAAAAATTCTTGTCTTCTCATATTTGCTTACGTGATAGTTTATTAGCAGGCCCGGACTGGCCAGTAGGCAGACCGGGCAAATGCCCGGTGGGCCGGTCTGGCCTGAGGGCCGGTTGGACCGATCTAGTAGCGAAATTTTTTTTTTATACATTGCATGAATTTCTAATAATATTGCGCAAATAATAATATTCAATAACATATATATGATATTTGTAGTAATAATAATGTTTTAATATACAGATCATGCGTGCCACCTATTTTTTTCGAGAATGGAGCAAATTTGAAGTATTAATCGATTTGAAATATTGAAGTATAAGTCGATTTGAAATAAAAAATCTAATAACTAAATCGATCCCAAGGAATTCAATAGTGATATTGTTAATTCCCAGAAGTAGCCGGAAGTACCGGAATTTAAACACAGTTTTGATTTTTTAAATGGAAACCTATATCTTATTTTGCATCATTGGAAAGGGTTTTCGAAAAAAAGTAACTTTTACTTGAATTTTTTTTTTATATCTCTTACTGTTCTCAAGATAATAGATACGAAAAAATTCTGATTAATTACTTCAATTTATCATTTTTATCGAAAATAATTCACTTAAATTGTCAAAATCGCTTCATTTCTTATAAAACATGGAAAGAAAAGCACAAATGTGTTTTAATGAAAGTAAAAGACATCATGACGGAAAAAATTTTTTTTAGTGAATATGTCATAATCTATTTAATATGTATTTTTTCTCTTCTATTATCTTGAAAATAGTAGGAGATATTAAAAAATATTTTAAGTAAAAGTTATTTCTTTTCAAAAACTCTCCAATGATGCCAAATAAGATATAGGTTTCTATTTAAAAAAGATATGAAATATCGTGTCTATGAAAGACTTCTCGCTGTTGTAGAGTGTAAATCTTCAACCGGACAGAATGTGTTTTCCTTAGTGGATTCAGTTTTAAAGTCTTGTAATATAGATGTAACAAAGTGCATCGGTAATTCAACTGACGGGGCTGCAAATATGCAAGGTGAATATAAAGGATTTTCGTCATGGCTTTCCAAAGAGTCCCCTGGTCAAAATCATGTTTGGTGTTATGCACATGTCTTAAATTTAGTTTTAGGAGATACCACGAAGGCACTAATTGAAAGTGCATCGTTTTTCAGCCTACTAAATAGCGTCGCAGTATTTTTCCGTGAATCATACCAACGCATNCATTACGAGTTGACGTAAATTAAAATAATTATTATTATTAACCTTCTTTTAGAATAAAACTGTCTTACATCTTTGTTAAAATATGGCAATCTTATTTTTCTTGTTATTATTTATTTATTTATTTTCCAATTATTATTTATTTATTTATTTTCCAATTATTATTTATTTATTTATTTGCTTGATTCGAATCAAGTAATTGTAAATTCAAAAGTTGCAAAAAATTAGCATTCAGGTGTCAAAAAAATATTTACTCAAGCTATGAGTTAGCACACTATGCCTAAATGATTTATCATTAAACGGTTTCCAATTAAATATTTATTTGTTTATTAATATAAATAGATGCATTCGTTGTATGTTGGTTAACTCAACTTTAGCTTTAGTTAATGAATAAAAAAGATTGAATTTTTGCGATTTTTTTTTTTTTTTTTTTAACTGATTAATAAGGGTGGTAAAAATAACCAAACTTAAAAATTCTTGTCTTCTCATATTTGCTTACGTAATAGTTTATTAGTCGCCTTTTGTTTACCATCTTTAACGTTTTTTACGTTTTAGTCAGATAAATCATAGGAAATGTTATATCTTTAAATTCTAATAATTTAACAAATACTTTATTTTTGTTTTGATTTATCTATTAATATAATGTAAAACTATAAAAATTAAAAACTTTTTTTTAAATTAAAATTATTTTTTTTTTTAATAAAATGCGTTTCATAAGTGTATAAATGCATTGAAATTATGCATAGCAATCAAATAACTTTTATGTATTTGCTATTTTTATGTATTTGCTAATTTTTCTGAAATATGAAAAATGAGAGGATTAAAATGTATACTATAATTGAACGACGTTTTTCCAGTAAAACAACATGATAGAAATTTTATTAAACCGAATTAAATGTAAAAACAGTTTTGGTGTAAATTGAAATAACAGATTTTAATGCAGAAAAATATCAAGATATTACTTAATAATTTTTGCTTTCGCTTTAAAATTCGTTTTTTTTTTAAAATTTTCTTTTTTGTTAAATGAAGGAAAGTTGGAACTTGTTCTTCGACATTTAAAAATCATTCGAATCATTCAACTTAAAATTATATCATACTATTGACTGTAATTATTTACAACACCAGTTTTAATTGCTTATTTTAATAAACAAAGCGTATTCTGTTAAATATATTTCTTAATTTGCCTTATACAGGGAAGGGGGCAAAGATACAGGCTGCCCCAGAAATGTTAACATGTACTTTAAGAACCAGTATAACTTCAATTTATTGGTATAAACGTGTAACGCCCCATAAAGATGGTTGAGAAGTGCATAGAGACACATTTCCAGTCATTCTAGATACCAGAGGCACTTCAGGTTGACCACGGCCAAAAAAAAAATTTAAAAGTGATAACAAATGATTTGTGCGGTTGTCGTATTTTATAGGCTTTAATTTCACGCCATTATTATAAAGTCTGTTAGTTGTAACAGAAATATTTAATTTTTAATTTTTTTTTGCACGATTGCAATAGGTTAAAATAGTTTTTGCTTCCTCGAATTTTTCTACCTGTGTTATAAATTTTTTTGACTTGTGGCTAATATGCTTTTGCCCATTATGAATACCCTTTGTCTTTAAATTAGATTTATCTCGCTTCATTTTATGTTAATTTTATTTTTTCTAATAATTATTATCCGAAACTGCGTTAAAACAGGCTCAGAAACTGAAACATCTGCTTAATCACCTAAATAATAAAATTACAATGAAACAATTTTTGAGCCAAGCAATTTGATGCCTATAAATGACGTGATCGTAGGTAAGTTTCAATCCCGCAGTGGACTGATCCCAAAGACCCGGTTCAAACCGGTTCACCGAAGTGAAGCATCACTGCCTGCAGTCAGTAAGCGGATGGGTGAGCACTTTCATCAGCTTGCGTAGGGACCTAAGGCGTGTTATGGTCCTCGTCAAACTGTTCTCCTGTAAAGTGCTCGACTTCGCGTGCAGGTCGTCGGGCTACCAAAGCGGGGGAGCCATCCTCTCTGCAGAGGATCAAAATTGGGATGGTGTGTCTTCGGATCATCTTCAGGGATGTTTCCCAGACCGTCGCCAATATCCCATTGTGTAGCTTTAGTGCGACGACGTAAATGAAGTACCTACCCACCTCTGTTTCAGACAGCTCGTTCAACTGGGAAAGTTAAGCTATATTTTCTTCTGGTATAGGCTTACCCTTTCAATACATATTTAGAGGATCTTAAGTTCAAATCCCGTCAAAATAAAAGTACGTTTATTCTTTAAAGTAATATCTTTGTGCCTTATTTCGTATTTTGCATACTGTCTGCAATAAATTAACTTATTAAGATTTTACTTCTGGGACTGCAACTTAACGAAAAAGAATAAATTCAATCATTAAAACTAAAGCTATTAAGAATTTCGTTTTGTATTTTTCACATTGGACAACTGTATACAATATAATGTATACAGTTGTCCAATAGTATACAGTACAGTTATTTTAAATTAAGATTGTAATACTTATAATAGCCAACCTTTAGGGAAAGGATGTCTGTTTCGAAAGGAGCAAGAAAATAATATGCGTGTCACTTCCAACCTTTTTTTCCAGCATAATATATATAAGGTGAAAAATATTGTTCACAGCCTGATCACATGATTTTTACGTAAATAGTACATTTTATTATATAAGTCTGAGTAGTGAGTATAAAAACAATTAAAAAAAATTCAGTTGTTAATTCACTTCTAAAATAAAATAGAATTGCTCGAAACGTACAATTATAAATAACTGCTCAACAGTCGGTAATCATTTATTGGGTCTAATCATTTATGTTAGCATCAGAGATCTTTAAAGATGCATAAAAAGTAGGTGCATTTCACTTTATTTCGAACGATAGTATTATGCTAATAATAGAAAGCATTGGTTCACGATGTATGTTGACCCTCACCTACAACAACATTTGATAGCCAAATCGTATAAATTTTGAAAAATGACTAGTTGGTACCAATTCCCAAAATTCAAAACAGTTGGAGTGATGGATTTCAAAGTGACTGAAGGCGACAATGTAACTTTTAAATAAATCTTAGCCTGTTATTGTTAAAACTCAGCCGTATCACCCTGTGGCATGGCACGCATCCCACGAATTGGCCATCCATGTGTTATAATTTCTTCAAAATGCGACTGAAATAAAAGTGAATTTATTTTTAAAGCATTTATCTTTTGATTCACACATATCTGATTATGGATCTTCTTTTCTAGATCCATCTAACACGGAGAGATGTATATCTTGGAAACTCTGCGTACTTTGATAAGATGCGTCCCTTTTTTCTACAGAAATACGCAATCCTGGGAATATTTTCACAAATTAAAATATTTCCACAGGTCTGATCCATCTTGGCATAATCTGACTAGCAATCTCATGTTCTTTCAATGGAACTACGTTCTTTTGATGCTAGTTGGAATTTGCTACAACTTGTTCCTTGATAAGTATTTAAATCTCGCTCTTTATCCTCTGGTGGCCATTTTTCTCTTGTCTGATGAACGAAAAGGTATATTACAGTTCTTCAGCTTCTTTTACGCTGTCCTGTTTCTCTTGGCGATCCTGTTTATTGCTGCAGCAGATTTAAAGGGACTCATGTCAACAACAGTTTGGGTTGCTGTTGCAATTTCTCTTCATGCTTACTTTTGCAACCGATTTCCAGGTCGTAGAAGTAGACGAGTACAGGGTGATATTTTGAGTTATTTTATAATAACTTGTCTTATGGTATTTATTGTTCAGAGTTCTAAGGAATCACTAACATCAAATAATGATTCTGTTAATTCAACTTTTGTTAATTCGACTTCATCAATATGAATTAAAAAAAGAACTAAATTTGGGCATAAGCTTTCTTTTTATCTAATCCAGTTTGTATTCCCATAGTGTACTTTAAAATTTAAATTTACTTTAGATTCTCTTTAAGAATATGATATTAAAAATATGTTATGAAAAGCTGTTATCTTGTATTTTAATAAAGTGATTGAAATGCGTGAATGATTCTGGTTTTCTTCTTTTTTTGTTGATTCGTTTGAAAATTTGAAATCTTTTTACAGTTCATTTATGTAAACAAGTCTGCAAAATGTTTTTAAAAATGAGATTCATGATTTCATTAATCAATCTCTCTATAATAAAAAAATCATAAACGCCACCGCTGCTGTTCTGGATGTTTAATTTAACAAGTTTTGTTTTGTAAACTAGATTATAAAAACTAGATTATAAACTTGAAATTATTAAAGTGTGTAGAAAAATGCACTGGGAGTACAATAGAATAAAAAAAATAATGAGCATTTGATAATTATTAATTGTTAAACTTGACACGCAGGCCGGGAGGCAGAGATTGCCAAAGTGATTATCAATTAGGTTTTTTCAAAGTTAAACGAGATCAATAGATTTTACTTCAAAAGTAAAGTAAAATATTTTTTTTATTATTATTGTTATCAAAACAAAAACTTCCAAACAATTGAAGATAAATAAACTTTTAGCTTTATTTTCTATAGGGTAATTCTTGAATATAGTATTTTTGAAATCGAAATAAGAGTGCTAAATTTGGAGATAAAAAAATTTGTATGCATATTTTAAATTTTCCTACATTTACTCTTAACTTATTTTGAGCCAAAAATATTGAGAAAAAAATGAAAAACGTTTAAAGAAATAAATTTACAAGTGACCATATCTCCTTAATATCAAGGTGAGATGGTCATTTTATACATCAAAGGAAAATGAGTTATTTTGGAAAATAAGTAAAAATAATCTAATTAACAAAATCTAAAGTACAGATTTAATTGATGAATTTGTTAAAATTTTTACTAACTTTTTCAAAGTTTACATATAATTGCGAGCTGATGAAGAGATTATATCTTTTTTTTTAAACTGGATTTTTATTTATTTATTTTTTGCTAAATTTTTCTTCTTCTCTTTTTTTCATTATACTGTAATTTTTTCCATGTTTTCTATACATTTTGAACTTATTTTATGAGTTCTATTTACTTGCAGCTTATGCGCAGTAAATAAAACTTATTGATTTTCTTCGTTTTTTTCTTTTCCCGTTTTATCCTTTTTGGTAAATATATATATTTATATAGTTTTCGTGGTTTTCCTCTCCATGTAACGCAAACGTGGGTTAGTTCCATCTTAAAGTCCTGCCATATGGCAAACTTCTCCCAATAATTGATCCAGGAATTCATTTGTCTTCTGGATTGGGTTCAAAATTACAAGGCTACGGAGTTGAATATTAGTAGCCGTAAACACAAAAAATTGGGTCGGCTGTTCAACGACGGTTATAAAAAAAATATAAAAAGTATTCCTCCCTAAATATAAGTCCCTTAGTTTTGTAATACGTACAAAAATTTAAAGAACTTAAATGTCAATATCATTAAGGGGAAAAAGTTTCAATGAAAAAAATATTTAATCACGACACTTATCAAAATTGAATGGCTACAATCAAGTCAGAATAATCATTTATCCTTTATTTAAAGAAGAAAAAAAAGCCTTTCATAGAAAATTGAAATAGTAATAAAGCTTTAAAGTAATTCCACGAAAAATGATTTTATAGAATTAAATTAATACCGGTAGATAAAAACAGTAGCTTTCCTCGAAAACACATAGCTTCTAAAGTAATATCTATAATACTTGGCAATTTTGATGGAGGCCAGCAATCTAAGGACCATCTCTAAATTTTTAAAATTATTGATAAAAATTTTTTTTGATTTTGTATTTTAAAATATATCGTCTGCACTAATTAATCAGCACATTTAAAAAAATCTACCTTTCAAACGATAAGAATTGATTAAAATCCTATTCAAACGTTATTCAAGATGTTTAATTTTTTATTTTGCTCTTTGAACAGTTAATGTCTAAACTTTGGTTAGTAAAGGTCATTACTAATGATCTTAGAGCCTAGAAAGGATGTTGAACGTCATAATCTCTGAAAAACGAAAACTGAAACTTAATGTTGTTTTTCTCTATCAAGATGCTAGTCAGTCCAAAAGTCAAACATTAGTTTATATAGCAAATAAAAATAGCGGTCAAATCAATGCTTTGAAAATAAAACTTTTACGCTTAAGATAAGATAAATAGTTATGATTTATTAGGAAAAGTCATTTGTGTTAAAGACATTTTTTAGTTCGGGATAACTACATATACGTCGAAGATTCCACATAAAACAGGTAATAAGATTTTTTTTAAAAAAATTTATTTTTAAATTAGTGCAAAAGTAAAGTTAGTTACTTTCGGAAATGCCATAGATTATGTTAAGGCACTGTTTAAGTACATTTCTCTTTAATTCTGTTTATAATGTGGTCAAAATCATTGAAACTCAAATGTATTAAATTAAAAATCAAATGGTGAAATGTTACATTTGTTAATAGATTTTCATGAACTATAAGCGATTCATTTTGAAGAAGAAGCGTTTTTTGTAAAACGGAAAAAGTTTGCATTTATATATTCATTACACTGTAAAATAATCTAATTACGGTATAAAATACCGGCTCTTTGGGTACACCACCGTAAAATCCATTTTACCGTAGAATCCATTTTTACTGTAAAATATCATACCGTAATTTCTACAGTAATATTTATTTTGAGTGATTAAGTGATTTTATTAGTTTTAATTATTACCGTAAGAATTACAACAGTTATTCCGGCAAAAATGGATTTTACAGTAAAAAGTACCGCCACCCTGAGTTAAGATCTTTCGCTCAAGACTTATTTTTAGACTAAAAATTTTCCATTTCGATATTATTTACTTTTTATAAGCAACAGTGGATTTAATTATTTGAATTTTTTAAGAACTAAGCAATATGAAAACTGTATACATTTCATTTCAACTATGCGTAAAAAGTGAAGATATGTCTTCAAATTTTAATAGGGAACTAGAAATATGTTCAAAATAGGGATAAGCTCTTTTTTGGGGAGATTAATAAAAATTCCAACTTTCCATGATGTTATTGTCTCAGTCCATTAAGGCGGACGGGGTGCGATTGTTCTTATTTTCCACAGTAACCCCCACAGGTATTGATTTAATATGGAAACATGGAGGACTTTGTGACTAGACAGATTTAACGTGCACCAGTCACCATTTACTACACCGGGAGTATTCGGCCTGGCTGGATTCGAACTTCTGTTTTCACAATCGTGAGTCCAGCGCCCTCCTAACCTGGCTATCACGGCCCAACTTTTTTACCAAATATCTTTATTAGATGTATTAAATATTCAGATTACTCACGCATATTTTATAAATTTTGGTGTATTTTACACATAATAATATATAAAATAAATTGTGTATGTATGTGTCTGTTTGCGTATAACAACGCGTTTCGGGCGTGAAATTATATTACCTAATCAAAAAGAAGGCAGATAACGATGCCTCAACGCATTTTCTCTGCTTAATGATAGTTTTATTCTACTGCTTATAAACGTAAATTATTTTTGTTATTTCGATGTTGATAGTTTTAAAATATCAATAACTATCTACATTTGTCCTCGTTTTTTTTTAAAATTCAAGCGAAGAGAAGGTGGGATTTATCAGCCTGTGTCATCTTTGTTTTAAAATGAAAGTTTTTTTTTTCCAGTTATTTTTGTGGACGGTGATAAATACATTTCTGTTCTTTAAAGAAATAAATATTTTAGGTGTCTTTCATCTTTTGTTTTGTTGTCTAATATTACGGTTGAGGTTGAAATGTATGTCTTTAGTTCTAGCTAAGTGTTTTTTAAAGTGTCACGAGCAACGAGTCAAAAGTGGAGCTACGCGTAGCTATTTACACTTAAAATATCGAATCTTTGAACAATGCCTCTAAGAAAATAGAGTAAATTTGGAACCAAAAAGCAATGAGTTTGTGAACGCAAAGGTTAAGAGCGAGCCACAAATGAACGAATCCAAACACGTTTTCTCTATCCTTTCAAATTTGCACATGAACCATTAATGTCATGGATTTAGAGAGTATTGATACCTAATTCAGCAAGAGCCAACATAGAACTATGAGTGGCATTAGAGAAATCTACGCAGGGAAAAGAATTCTGGCAAAATTACCGTACTCTATGTTAAAGATATTTCTGTTAAAAAAAAAACTAACAAACCATAATTCTGGTAATAAAGCAAAATGTAAGATAATTATACCATTCATTTGGTTACTTTTCCGTTCATGCGGAACCAGTTTACTGAAAATTCTGTTCTTCAAAATTATAGTTCTTATTACCATACTATAAACAAATACATTATACATTACAATTAAATAAATACATTGCACAAATACAAAACAAAAAATCTTAACCAGATAAATGGTTCTTATGCCATTATCTAAAATATGATAAATTTTCCCAATTTTAATGTTAATTTTACCGAAAACTTTACCAAAGCGTTGCAATAAAAACTACCGTGATTTTTTGCGTTCCCATATTAGAGACAGAAATTCATTAAATTTTACCATATTCTGGTAGTTTAGACCCTACTTTGTTTCTTATTTTAGGGCGAATGGGATTCTAAAGTCATAACTCTAGCATCTTTCCATCCTTAATGGATGGAAAACTAAAATTAGAAGATGATGTTAATGTGGGAGAAAACACACTACGTACGACGTTACTGTTTAGCTGGTAGTATTCGAAAGTTGTACCGTATCATTAAATCAAGTCTCGGATTTTTTTTTGCAGTGTACAATAATAATAGAACCATACTGTTATCTTAATATGATTTTGTTCTGAGTTTGTTTGATGAAACACTGATCTACGTGTTTTCTTAAAAGGTAAATGATTGACTCTCCTCTTACTTTATTTTTGCAGATAACCAAAACAGCAAGATAAATGATTATCGCGATAAGATTGGCGAGTTTTACGGTTTTGTTTTACAAACTAATAAGATTTCTTTTCACAAATGCACAATCCTGGAAATTCTTCTTCAGTACAAACAAAAAAAAATCATCACCAAGAAATCTCAACAGAAATCTGAAAGTCTTCAAGTTCAATTACGCTGCTTTGTTTTTGTCATCGATTGGCTACAACTTCGTAACGGATGATTATTTGTGGCTTCTTACATTTCCTGCGATGGGAATTTTTTCCCTTTATGACAAGCGACAAGGGATTTCTCAGTTTTTCAGCTTACTTCACGCTACATACTTTGTATTAGTAATAATTGTATTACGTGTTGCAGATTTACAACAACTGACGCTGGCAGTATTCTTGTCGGTCATTCTAATTCTTTTGCACGCTCTTCAGGGCAAGCGATTCTTGAATCACCCTCGACAAACGAGATACAATCGTAGGAATTCGAGAAATTTATGTTATATTATGCCAAGAGGTTATAGATACAGAGACGATGAATCCAAGAGTTGTGAGATTTTGATTCTTTTGATGATTTTTATCCTTTTTTGTCATATTTTTAAAACGAATCATGAGCTGCCAAAACATGATTTTTTCAATTCAACTTTAATCAATTCGACATCATATTATTGTAACAGTTCAGTGATGTGCTGTAAAAACTCATATGAGTATACAACAGTCTTTTAAATGTCAATTCGATGTCCATCAATTGTAATTGTTGTAAAAACTCGGACACATATAAGCAGTCCAACGAATCTTTAAAAAAAAAATGGATCATTTCTGATAATTATTTTACATGTTTTGAAAAGAAAATAGTTAATAAAATGTCTAAAACTGCAGATTGTATGGAGAATAATGCAAGAATTCTGTCATGTAAGAAAAACTTCTAAGTATACTTATTATTTTCTAGTGCCATTTTTTTTGAAATTGTATTGTCTATTGTTTATTTATGCGTGAAAATTGTATGTACGAGTATATGAACTTTTGTGTTGCGGTTTTTAAATAAAATGTAACCTCCTAAATCAATTTGGATGGTGCCTTTCACCTTCAATACACACATGCACTTTTTAATTTAGAACAGATTTTTGACCATCAAGGTTTTTTTTTCTTTTTTTTGTATAAAAAACAACATACAACAACCATTTCATAATTGAGTGCAAAGATTGTTCGATTCGCTTAGAAAAATTTAGAGATATCGTGAAATAATGGAAAAAGTAAAAACTTTGGAATTGGAAACCAACTTTAGGAACCAAACTTTCAACAGAGTCAGTGTAAAAGGAACTAAAATAATATCGTTCTTGCTTAGGCAGAAAATTCAGTTTCTCCCCATTTAGGCTGCCTCTTCCTTTTCGAAAAATTTAAAAAAGCGGTTAAGGCTCCCCTCGGTTTAAGCAAAACGGATTCTCATATTCAGACAGATCCAAAATTTCTAAAACAATTTTTGAGTTTGTGTTAAATTTCTTTTTTTAATTAATTTGTTTATTTAAACGTAGTAAGCTACCCAGATAAACTAAGTGCAGGGCTCGAAATGAACGGTCATCCGTTAGTCTGAGTAAACTAGAATTTTACAAGTACCACCAGAAAATTATCATCAATGGTTCCCCACACCAGCAATCAATGTAAAGGAGGAATAATATATATATATATATATAACAACAGAGATTAAATATTACCAATAANAAATATAGTATATATATATATATATTTTCTTCTTTTTTTTGAATTTTCGGATTTACGTTTTAGTTTGTGTTTTTGTTTCAAAATATCATATTTCATTATAATTGGGCGCGGTACCAGTATATGCTAGCTTTAGTAGGATACCAGCTAATGAAACAACAGTTCAGGTATTATACCGGAGTCAGTATCCTGATAGCTTGTGAAACACCAGATCCGGTATAATAGATGATTTTGTATCATACCAAAGCCAATATGATGCCGGCTGATAGAACACCGGTTCCGGTATTATACTGGCTCCTGTATCATTCTGGGACGAGTTTGGCACCGCCTTATGAAACACCGTTTCCGGTATGTGGGTCCGGCTAAATACTGGATTCAGTATCATACCAGAACCGGTGTTTCATAAGCCGGTATAATTTTTTTTGTACCAGGAATTATTTCCAATAGGGTTGCATTGCAGTTTTAATTTAAATACACTTTATATATTATTTCATTTAAAGAAAAATCTTAAAACGACATATATAAACGGTTTGTTTACTGAACCGAGACCGAACATATATGTTCGGAATATCTTTTTGTCACTGGATTTATCAGTAATTAAATCTTCTTAATGTCTATCTCGGAAAAATATTTTCTTTAGCTCTTCACTGGTTTTAAGCTGGTTGCCGAACTGCTTATTATAGGCTAGCTCACCAGTCTCTATACGGCATTCCCAGTTTATAATTTTTAATAACTTTTTAAGAAGTGTAGAATCATTTTTCAAATTTGAAAAAAGAAAGATGGTTAGTTAATGACCATCAATTTATTTTACAAAAGCGAGAAAGTGTTTCCGAAAGAAGAAGCGGAAAAAAACATTTCATAGGGCCTAGCAACAATGAGTAGAATGGTCAACTATGACGTCAGTAAATCTTATCGTTGTGGTTTGTTTATATTTGCCAACGAGGGTTTGAAATACGCTTTTTGAAATCTCTCTAGTTAGGGGAGGATTTAATGTAGTATAACTATAGAAACTGACCGATTTCAAGAAATTCCTTTTTATAATAAACAGATGATATTTTCTTAAGATTAAAAAAAATCAGAGAGGAAGAAATAAAATTTCTTCTATACTCATTTTTCAGACAGAGTTGACAACAAGTACGCTGTTTTAAACTATTTACCACTAATAATTAATGTATAAATGTAATTTGAATTATGTTTTTAGTTTATATAAAATATCTTGGTTATTTATTATATTCTATTCAACAACAGTAGTTAGTATTATTTTAAGTGGCAATATCCATAAAATAATATTTTGTAGTTGTATACATTCAATCGATCTCAAGAAAAAAGGCGATTAATAGTAAAAAAAAATATGTTTTCTTATATTCATTTTATGAAACATTGTTTCACAAAAAACTATAAACATTTTTAACCTTGAATGTGTAATTGATAATTGTTGAAATTAAAAGTTATTATTCTATAAACCGTGAAAGCTCTTATAACAAATAGATTTTTCTGTCTAGATTCAATAATAACAACAAAGAAAAATTAAACATATATTTAGATTTATCTGTAATTATGAAATATAAATGGTATTATATTACGGTTATGAAATGATCAAAATACCCTATGATGTTCATTACAATTTAAAAATAAGAGTTCATGCTTATAATGTTCATCATATTTATCACAAGTGTTCAAGATAGAGCCGCGATGGCTTAGGGGATAGACCGTTCGCCTTCCAATGAGGTGAACCGGGTTCAAATCCCAGTTTCCAGCAGGTTCGAATCACAGCAATGGCTGGTCGATACGAATTCCGCATCACGCTTGCACCGACCACAGTGCTGACGTGAAATATCCTCAGTGTTAGACAGATCAAGGATTAGAGTCCCCTTGCCGTTGGGCTAACCATGAGAGGTTCTCATGGTCTTCTCCATGTAAGGCAAATGCAGGTTAGTTCCATCAAAAAGTCATCCACGACGGCAAATTTCTCCCAATACCTGATCCAGGAGTTCCCTTGTCTTCTGGATCGAGTTCAAAATTACAAGGCTATGTAGCTTCACATTAGTAGTCGTAAACCCGAAAATTGGGTCGGCTGTTCAGCACCAGTTATAAAATAAAACAAAGTGTTCAAAATTTCTATCGCATCGGCGTTTAAACATTGATCTCAGAATTGATACACTTGAATTCCAATAATCCAAGTCAATTAGACCAACCACAATGATTGAATAAATGGCTGAACTGGATGAAAAATCGTTATTTCCCTTAAAGAGGACGTCCACTGTAACTAACCTATTAAAGACTGCAAAACAAATAGTTTCTATTTTTACATATTTTCATACTGTATTATATGTTTCGATTTTTACGTACTTTCATACTGTATTGCACCGCGAAATTATGTTTCAAGTTGATAAATTTTGCACAATCGGTTAATAAACTAATACTACTTTTATTTGTTATGTTACTAAGTAATTAAAAATTCTAAAAATATCTTACAGCGTGTTTCTGTAGTTAAGTTAAATAATTTAGAATCATACAAATGCTGATTAAATTTTTAAAAAGATGTTTTTAAAAAATTACATAGAATAGTACTGTTAACACATTATAAGACCACTTGTCTAAATCAAGGAAAATATTAAAATTATAATAATATTGAATCTTCATTTTTCTTCTGAATCTTCAATGAAAAAGAGTCTGTTTTTCATTGAAATGATTACGTGGGTAATTTCAATTTCAATGATATTGCGCACCATTCTTTTACGATGGCTACCTCTAGCTTGGAAACTATTTATTATTCTCATAACATTTTGTGATAAATATGCTCCTCGAAGTACTTTTAGGGTGCTTATTTCTGGGCCTCGACAAAACATTAACTTTTTTTTTTTAACACCGTTCTTCAGTGGATGCATAGGAAGGAGGATAAATGAACATAACTACATACATTTGAACAAAAAAATATTCAATAATTATCTTTACATAGGTAAAGATTTTTTTATTCAAACTGATGGAATACCACTAGAATATAATTTTTCATCCCTCTTAGCTTTCTTATGTTTGCACTATTATGAAAAAAATACTCTTAATATTAAATGTGTTTTTAGATTTATGGATGACTATTAATTATCTTTAACTTTCAAGACTATACTATTTTATTAAATAATATTTACCCCGAGGAATTAGTCTTGCTTCGTAATTATCATGATAATATTAATTTCAACTTTTCGGATTTGAGTATTTTAAAAGAAGAAAATATCTGTTTTGTTGATTAATACTATAAAAAAATTATTTTAATTTTAATATAAATAAACTAATGACTTGGAATACTGATGCTTCTAAAAACAGCTATTTAAATACCATTTTTAATCAAATGAATAGAATTAAAAGAATATGTAGTAATGTTTATTTATCCATAAAACAAATAGACAAAATCTTTAAAAATTTGATAAAAAACACTAGATACCCAACTAAAGTAATTAAATTCTATATAAAATCTTTGAGCTAACTGTACATTATTTATAATTAAGTGTACTAAAAACTTCTTTGTTAACTTACATAATTTTTACCATGTGCAAATCCATTTAGGTCGAATCCGTGGCTTCAAATATGTGCAAAACAGACAATTCCTGTTTCTTTCTTTCCCTCTTTCTAAAATAAAAGTTGATTTTCTAAAATCTTTAAAATTGTATAATTAAATATAAACCTTATTATTTATAAACTTCCTTAAATTATCCAGTATAATATTACCTTGTATACATCCATTTTCGGGCACATCCTTGGTAACTAACAAATCAAACGCGCTTCACTACTGCAGTAAGAATGCGCTATAAAACAAAACTCTCTATTTACTCTTTTATCTCAATTTGTGATTCTATTTTCATATTTTGTAATCGGGCAATCTTATAACGAACATATTTTAAGAAAATAATTTAAAATAATTAGAGCAATTAAAAACAGTACTTCCAGTGGAAAAACGCACTAAGCAGCTGAAAATCAAAAAGGAATTGAAACAAAAGAAACAATGAAAAATCAAAACTATAAAAAAATACGACAACCGAAGCTCACGTCTTCAGGGGGTACCAGCTTCGGGTGAAGTGAATGCTAAATGAATGCAGGGAACGAAGTGAATGCAAAACCTTTTCTATCGAGAGAGCACGACAAATGTCTAAATTGCTCTCTCTCTCTTTCTCTCTCTCTCTCTCTGTACCCCGAAGGTTTTGCCAAAGTCCAGGAAGAGAATACAATACAAAATATTAAATAGATGAAGCAAATACAAAAGTATAAAATCAAGACTAATACATAAGAATAAAGCGCACAAAAATTTACTTGAAACATAAATTCCATAACGAAATTACTAATGAAATTACGATTGACTGCCAAACCACTGGTTATGAGATTTACGTTTCAAGTAAGTTTTTGTGAGCTTTATTCTTATGTATTAGTCTTGATTTTATACTTTTGTATTTGCTTCATCTATTTAATATTTTGTATTAAATAGATGAAGCAAGATGTCAGCTTCGGTTGTCGTATTTTTTCATAATTTTATATTTTTATTTTTCCTTGTTTCTTTTGAAAATATTTTAAATCATTCTTGAAAAATTTCCCGTTCATGTAAGTTCATTTGAATTTGTTTTCTGCCTTATAGATTTCGTTTTATGTTTCGTTCTGTTTTTTCTTTACATTTTATTGTCTGTTTTTTACGTGTTATTTATTACTTAATGTGCTCTATTCTATTTTGTTTCAAAAAAAGTTTTTTTGAGTGCTCATCACACAATTGTATTGATATATTTTACTTCGGCTATATTGATACAATATTAGAAAGCACTCCTTTTTGTGGATATAATCGTGTGAGCTGATGGAGCGATTATATCTTTTTTTCCCGGTTTTTATTCAAATAATTTTCTTCGACTTTTTTTAAAATTATTTTCCACGTTTTCTCTTCATTTTGAACCAAATTTATGAACAAATTTTTCTTACGTCAGCAACTTCTGGAGTGAAATTTGAAAGCAAACCTTAAACATTTGGTTATTCTGACGACAAAAACGGAGTTAAAGTCCTAAGCAGAGGGGATGGCTCCCCTCTGCTTAGGATCATTTGGTCACCCTCCCGCTTACTGACTGCAACCAGTGATGCTTGATTTTGGTGTTTTAGTGGGTCTTTACGATCAGTCCACTGCGGGACAAAATAGTAGAAAGAACAGATAGTGGTAGAGCTCACCTTACCTCCGCACCAAGCTCCCCTAACGCCCAATGATGATCTGACAAAATCTGATCAGACATGGAGTCTTTAGCATGGGAATCGTCTAGAGAATTTTTTTAAACAACCTTTGAGCACAAGAAAAAGAAGAATACTTTTTTCATTATGTTAGGGAGCTCTTCGTTGCATTGTGTGCTACATTAATTCTTAGAAAACAATGAACAGAATTCTTAGAACGTTATATTCTTAGAATACATTAAAAAAATCACATAGATAAATTATATTTCTTTATAAATAAATAACTTTTTGAAAGTAATTCATCTAATAAATATTTTAGTGAGAAGGAGTATTGTGGTTATTTAAAAGAGACTTGTAATATTATTTATATTTCATTTCAGGACTAAGAGAGCATTTGTTTTTCATTCTCAGTGTTTATTCAAGTTTGGCATACTTGTCTGAGAATAAATCTACCTAGATTAACATTTTGTGTATCCTATCATCTTACCAGAACTCATCTGAGAAAATGATCAGGCCTTGGGGTGTATTCTTTAATTGGAGACAATTTCAAACTCGATGTTGGAATGACGATGACGGACATATAAGTCAAAATTTCAGATATTTTCGTGACAATTATTTCATTGTACTCTTCACTGTATTTGTATTTTTTTGTTTCGTCGAAAAAGATTATACTAAGATACGATACATAGCTGGATACTTGCTTTTTACATTCTATATTGTCTATAATAAGGGGATTACTAGCATCGCTAATACATGGTTTACAGTGGCAACTATCTTATTCTTAATAGCGATTTACCCAGTTTCGAAAGTTAAATTGTCGTTTAGTTTATGGATGATTGCTTTAAAAAGTTTAATTTACTCAGGAATTTTTGCTTGGGTTCATTCCTGTGTGTATTTATACCGTTTTTCTCAAAGAGACAACAGAAATTTGCACCCACAAAGTTGACAAAATAATGTATATGTGTATCATCGGCAAAACAGATAAGTGTGCTGCCTAATACTTTTAATTTTGTCTCTCTTATAAGTAACATACTACAGTTTTCGTTCCCCTGTCTGTGTTATGATTTTGCTGTAATGGCTGTAGTATAATTTTTCTTGTTTTATTTATATAGCAGTACCTCAAGTCTTAATTTTGAAATACCTGGTCGTACAACGAAGTCGTACAACAAATGGAAAACTAGTAAAAGAGTATTGCCATAAAATTTTTCGTTTTATTTAAAAATAGAGAGAAAGAAATTGAAAAATTTATAAAAACTTGAAACGCAATCGAAAATGAATTAAGCTAAAATAACGTAAAACGGCATAAAAAAGCACATGAACAGACAGCACTAGAATCATTCCAGGCCAAAAGCACAGCTATCATCTGCCCTAATGCAGAACCATTAAGTAACGAAACACTGAATCAATCTTTAAGTGGAAATAGCATCTGTTATAAACTTCATAGGCCTTTCTACATATAAACATGTTCTTTTACAGACATCACAAGCTTTTTTTATAAAGAAACATGTACTGTTACAGGTTTCACAGACTTTTTGACAGATAAATATGTTCTACTGTTACAATTTTCACAGGCTTTCTTACAGATAAACATGTTTTGTTCAGTATTTTTTACAAGAAATAAAGATGCATTATTGCAGAAAAGTTTTCTTTTTTTGACTTGAATTTAAAAAAAATCAGGCTAATACTTTTTGATTTATGACCATGTAGAATAGTATTCACAGCAATTTAAAATGATTAAACATCTTACTTTATTCTGAACGTCAAAGGAAGATTCTTATCCAGAAAAAAGTATATTTTGTGTCTGATCTCTTCCTTAATTCATAGTTTCTATTCAATTATTAGCATGTATCTAAAACTAATGTAAAATAGGAGGCAACTCTTAATTTCTTCAAAGTTGATTTTCAACATGTTTTTATACCACATAAACAGTCTATAGAGGCTACACGCTGAAAAAAAAATTCCATTGTACAAGAGAACTGAGGATTTCCACTTTTTAACCTTCTTTTTCTTGTAAATTTGAGAGTATCCTTTTGTGTTTTATTCTGGTTTTTTGTTATTGCTGTTCTCCATGTATTATTACGTTTTATGTATTTCGTCATCTCATATTTTGTACAAATGTTACCGCTCAAGAGCGGAATTAAGAGTTGTGCAGATCAACTGGTTACTGTATAGATTAACTGGGATGATCCATAAAAATGCCGAACGTCACATTTTAAAATGACTTAGGTAATCTGAACATTATCTACTCGTGAAAATGAATAAAAGATGTTGGCTGAGAAACGATTCTTCAAGCTTAAATTAACATAATGTTATAATGATGGGGGTTATCGGTCCAATTTATTGGTTAGCAGAGGTAGCGCAGTATTAAGCATATTGTTGGCCGTTGCAGATACATCTTAATTTGGAGATTATGTAAGGATTTTTATCCCAGAAAAATGAAAAAAAAATCGTTTAAGAAAAATTGATTTATTAAGTAAATATTATATAAAATATGGCCACATTCAAAAATTATAAAAATAAAGAAAAGTAGTCTCTCAAAGGGATCAAGAAAATTATTCTCTTCACGTCAAGAATATTATGTTAAGTTATCTACTCCACGGTGGGGACTGAGAGGCCCAAAGGCTCCCCAGTCCTATTGCCAATAATTAAAAATAAGTGAATTGTTCCCAACGGACTGTTAGGAGCATGGGAAGAGATCCATGATTGGCGATTTTTCGAAAGATAACAAAGCCAGAAATAAAGTCAACCCCCCATAATCAATATTAAATTCAAAAATAATTTGTCGAAAGTGAATCGCCAAAAAGACTGTGAGAATTAGTATAGCCATGTAACTGAAACATTTTCGTTGTAAGAAATAAGGAGTTTTGTTTTCCATTGACTCACGACATTGAATGAATGAGTCTTACATTAGTATTGAAATAAAATTACATTGATCGTTAAGAAAAGAATAGACTATTTAATATTCGCTTTATATAAATTGTATAAAAAATTAAATAATTGGTAAATTATTAATTAAAAAATTTAATTAAAATTCGATTAAGAATGACTAAAAAAAATTAGTTTAAGAAATTAAAGAAATTTTAAAAGCTGGGAAACATGTAATGCCTATTGTGGCATCAAAGTTATTTATTTTTTCTACACCTAAAGAATAAAGTTAACACAATCAACTACTTAGTAGATAGAATCAATCATCAATGAATGAAATAACCATAATGCAACGCATCAAACTGTTTAAAATACTTAGAGCAGCAAATTTTTGAACTTAAACGATACAGAAGCCATTAATGTACACATTGCCAAGCTAAAATGCGGATAAATTTTCTTCTGAACTTTAACTGAAAAAAAAAACCAGTTAATCTGCAGCAGATTAATGGCTTTTGAGCTTCAGCTTTAACAAACATAGATAAACATGTTTTTTTTTGTGTATGTATTTGTCGATACCTGTAACGGTATTATTTAAAACATTTTGTTTTCTGGGATATTTCCCTGTGCCCTGATTTTGTTTCATAATCATATAAGTATTTTGCATTTTACCAAATATTAATTAAAGCTAAATGTAGATAATATTTGCTTGTTTTTCTTTTTCCTATTTTTTCAGAATGCACAATTTGTTACACGCGTTCATCGTAGTGTTTAGAAATGTATCATAAGTCGTAAATTGTAGATTTGTATGTTACTGTTTAATAAAATAAAATTATAAAGTTGATATTTATTTTTGAGTATTAGATTTTTATAAAAATGTGTTTTATTTACTTAATTTCAGATCTTAACTTCTATTATCTTTTCTGATTTCGAGTGACTTTTTTTAAAATTAATATTTGATTATTTTATAAGACTTATTTAAAATAATGAGTGCTTTAACTTCTATTAAAACTAATTACCTTTTTCTTCGGATTATCCGATTTAAGAGTGTTTAAAATTTCAAAACCTCATCGAGATCTAAATTCTTTTATTATATTTCTTCTTTAAAATTTTAATCTTTTAGTAATCTTTAATGTTTTCAACTCATAAATTCCGATTGATTTTCTCAACATTCTGATTTCAAATGAATCTTTTCATTATTTTCATAACTTATTAATTAACAAAAATTACTTATTTAAAAAATGAATGTTTTAATTTTATTGAAAGCAATTGATTTATTTTCTGAATTATGGTTATTCAGATTGTTTCTAATTTTTAAGAAAGCCATAAAAAAATCTGCATCATATCAGCAGCAATTTTCCTTCTCATAACTGTTTTTATCATGGAAATTGGGTTGCATATAATGAAAGATTACAGAAACATACAATTTTGGATTTTAGGAGATAGAGGGGCGCTAAACTAAATCATGGATAATATTCTTTCCTTTATTGCAATGATAAAGTTGTATCATACAAGTTATTTTTTTATTCCATAGCTGTTTGCAATGACTTATTCTAAGATAACTTATACCAGACATGTCTATTTGTTTTAAATTAAGCCAAGCTCTCAAAATCCGGTGTAAAATAATGGAAAATGGCTATATGAATGCCAGATTTAGATTTAAATACCTGCTGCAAGTTTGAAAAATTCGCCAAGGTATCTGCAATAATGAGGTTATCAAACATTTTATCAATCAAATACATCAGATGGGCTTTATATAAGTCAAGTAGAAGTAGATGCTGCGTATAATGTAATAAGTAATATTGTCATAACTTTTTATTTCAAATGTACCTTGTTTGAAATAGATTGTAAGTGTGATTTTATTTCAAGTGGAATACCCTCATCCATACGAAATACAGTATTGACATTCAAAATTTTATACGAAACAAAATTAATTAACGTAAATTTGAATTAAACTTTGCATCACAATCGGACGATTTTGTTGAAAGCAATAAGTGAAATCCGACCGATCTATTTTACAGATAGATTAAAGTTTAATGTCTAACTCACGTGGGTGTATTTTGGCGCACTGTTTATTCATACCACAAATAAACAATAGATGCTTTTATTTAGTGGAATTTTCAAAATAATGATTGTTTTCCAAATAGAAAATAGATAAGGTGAATTGTTTTTATTTATATAATACTATTTAGAAACCGCGAAGGCCCATAGATTAAAGCACTGAGCTATCATTGTGTAGGATCCTGCGCAATATTTTCTGTGTGTGTCAACTTAGAATCTACACTGCTTCGGACCTAAGCATACTGGCTTGTTTTATTTTATTATTTCATAATCGTCGTTAAACAGTTGACCCAATTTCGGATTTACGATTACCAAGGCAACTCCGTAGCTTTGTAATTTTGAACCCAAAGACAAGGGAACATCTGGATCAAGTATTGAGTGAAATTTACCTTCTTGGACTTTTTAATGGAACTAACCCACACTTGCGTTACATGGAGACGAAAACCACGAAAACTTCCCACGGTTAGCTTGACGGCAAGGGGAATCTAACCCATTAACCATTTACCACTGAGGAAATTTCACATCACCACTATGGTCGGTGCGAGCCTGGTGCGGAATTCGAATCGACCAGCTGTCTCTGGAATCGAGCTCGGGTCACCTCATTGGGAGGCGAACGCTCTATTCCCTAAACCAACACGGCTCTATTAGCTTGTTTTATAAGCAAAGGTGCCCTATGTGCAATGACCATTGCCCGAAATAGAGGAGCATAACTTTTACGACCCTTCAAGTTTGCTTCTTTTGAGCGGTTTTTGCGAAAGTTTTAACAGTAATACACTTTAAATGTTTCACGTATGCACGAATAAAAAAGTAGAACAGCTTCTACAACACGAATTTCCAAAGCTCTGCACAATAAAACATACACAGAAACATAAAATCAAATCTGTTTATCAAACCAATACATTTGAATTCTACCCACATTTTCTGGAAAAGAAATAAAATAATATGGCAAAAAATCTGCTGTGGTTGCAAAGCTGTTCCCGCTATACGAATTTTATAATTTATTTCACTATAAAATAAACTGATACATTCCTGAGAAAATTCTAGGCCCTGCTAATGAGCTTTTAATGCTATGTTTCTGGATAAAAGTTGCTGCTTTTCAGGATCTTACAGAACCTATAATCAAAAATTCTAAGAACTTATTTTTTGAAATTTGAACCTCTTAAAGTTTACTATTGCTATTAAAAAGAAATGCATTGACGTTTTCAGCCTATCAAGAAAACAAAAATCATGACAATTTATTATAAGTTAAATAATTTGAACCTTTATATTTATAATATTATCTGGATCAAAACATTTTAATTTGGCAAATCAAACAAATATATACTTCTAAACTATTAACAACCATTATAATATAACCTCCTTTTTGAAAAAAATTGCAGAAAAAATAAAACCTTAGTAATTAATCTGTTTATCAAAAATTTCTTAATGTCTCATCAATGATGCTTATCTTTGCCTAACTAGGACAATACTCTATTGTTGAAAATAAACTTTTCTATAAACCTTTTAATATCACACAAATTTGTTCAAATATTGAATGATATAAATCAATGAATTTTAATAAAATTAATGAATTTTCGATCGCAAAACAAACTAGCTCCAATGCATCACCATTATTATTTTTTTTTAAATTACTGATTTGCAGTTTGTAATTAATCACTTTTTTTTAGTCGCCAAGACAAAAAATAATGTATCCGCATTGTTTAAAAT